TAGGGGCTGCAGCAGCCTCTGCCCCATCCCGTTGCTCCAAGCCAGCCCCTACTAGATTGCCCTTCTGCCACTAGGATACCAAGGTTCTTTGATCCAGGAATATTTGTGGTTCTGCCTAGTTTTATTTGTTGCGTTTTAGAATTAAAGAATACATACTTATTGAGCTACATCTGAATTTTTTTTTCTTTATGGCAGAAACCAATTTAACGATTGGAAAAATAAAAAAAATGCTAATATTTATGAAGGGACGAACAAAACACAGTAACTAGGATCAGGGAGAGCGAAGGGAGAGGTACTGGGTAAGCACTCTTACAGTGTTTTGGAAATTCAGATGAGTTGTCGCAGCAATCAGCTATAATGTTGAGCCAAGTTTGAGAAGACATTGCCAAGTTTGCTGCCAAACAGCACCTGCTTGTATAGCACTTTTGTGATTTGGACAAATATCCACTAAGAAGTGAAACTTGCTGAATATCAAGTTCATTCTGCTTGTGGTCTAACGGTAAGCACTCTTACAGTGTTTTGGAAATTCAGATGAGTTGTCGCAGCAATCAGCTATAATGTTGAGCCAAGTTTGAGAAGACATTGCCAAGTTTGCTGCCAAACAGCACCTGCTTGTATAGCACTTTTGTGATTTGGACAAATATCCACTAAGAAGTGAAACTTGCTGAATATCAAGTTCATTCTGCTTGTGGTCTAACTCAGATGAGCCTGCAGCAATGAATTTTTTTACTTTTTCTTTCAGTTTATTTTGCCAGTTCACACTACTCGTCGTCAGAAGTTGGCTAGCTGGTTTAACAAATAATGCCATCACATAGCACTGGACTTTTTAAAAAAGTGTTGTTTTGTCAGTGTGATCTGTAAGCAAAGTTCAGCCTTCCATTTCAATGACAACCATTTCCAATCAAGCATTTCCAATCAAGACCATCTATGATATATGTGATCTTCAAGTTGGAAAGAAAAAAAAAAAATCTAAAAGTTGCTCTCAAACATCCCACAGAACAAGATAGTGCAATGCCATTCTGTTTGCTTATGCAGTTCCCAACTTAAATCTTAATGGAAATATATGCAAGCACAAAACAATATTTCCTCACTACAATACATTCAATTCTCTTTCAGAAATACAAATACGGCATAGAACAGGGCTTTGATGTCAGTTGTGTCAATGGCAGTAAAGACTGTTAAACACATTTGTAAAGGTGCTCAGCACCTTGCTGGATCAAGCCCCTAAAATAGAAATTAATAGCATATTCCTATTAGAAATAGGTTTTCATTTCCTGAGAGAGCATATAGACAGTGTCACCTACTATCATCTTCAGCATTACTCTTTTAAAAATGTATTTATGGATCTTCCCCAATTAAAGCCAAACATCTATTTCCTTAGGTTTAACAGATTTGCTTTTACATGGATACCTGATTCTTTTGTTCTTGTTTCTGCTGGGCTAAAGATTCTTCTCTCTCTTTCTCTACTCGAAGCTGTCTTGCTATTTCAAGCATTCGTTGGTGGTTTTGCACCGTCTCCACCTACAGCACATGGATAAATAGTGCACGTTGATGCCAGATAGTTGAGAAATAAATTAGTGTGATCATATGTCTCACAAAAGCACTTAGCACTTCCTTCCCATATCTATTGCCACTTAGAGATGACAGTAAGGCACTGGATTCAAGGTCCTTAAAAGCTTTGGACTACTGCCTAGGGAGATTTCCTTTCCCTCAATTACTTATCCAATTCCTTCCTCAGACATACAGCATGTTCATCTTAATCCTTGTTTGCATTCCTAAATCAGAGTAGCAAGCCAAGGACTGTGACACTGAAATGTTATAATGTTACTTCTCTCATTACCCTCTTCTTAAGACGCTCCACTCTCTTGATGAGCTGATCCTTCTCCTCTTCCATTGCAGTGATATCCTATAAAGCAGCAAAAATAACCAACAAAATATTAATTTACTTACAATATTACTTATAGTTGGGCCAGAGTCTGTTAGTCACATAAACATGGAGTAAGCAAAATCAGAATCTGTCTTTTTGCATACTGATACACGTGCAATTTCATTGGTTCATGGTCTGATCATGCAAGGTTCTAGTCCTGTTCTCTCACATCTTATCACCCCAGCCTTTATAATCTTTATGTAGAACAGCCTAGATGATAGCATGGCATTCCCCATGTATTATTGTGCACATTTAAAATGTGAGCACATGAATTTCTTTGATGATAAAAAAACCCACCAAGATGACAACTCCAAATTTGATCCTATAATATGTATGTCCTTAAAAGCTGCTATCATGTCTGTGTCTATGCAGACAGAGGTTTGAATTCCAGTTTTGCATTGAGTTACATAGGAGAGCTACATTCTGCCTTTTTTTCCCAGTGAAATTACATTTAAAGGGATACTCTGATTATAAATCCTGGGTCTGATTACTATTCTCACTATTTTTTTTAAAGTGATGTCTTTTCATTGTTTTACAATGATGTCAGAGGAAAAACAGGTACTATATATTTAAGCCACAATCCAGCATAGCACTTAAACACATGCTTATTTTTAAGCATGATAGCAGTCCCAATGAAAAATGAGGCTAGTGCTTACATGTTTTGCTCCACTAGGATCTTTATAAAAATATCATTATTTAATAGAAACACCAATTTAGATAATAACTGAAATAATTTTTATTATTGAGTTTACTTTTCACTATTTCTGTTGTATTCAGTTGCCTCCTAAGTCACTTAGGTGCAGGGCCGTAACAAGGATGAGGTGAATGAGGCACTTGCCTCGGGCACATAGCTGAGGGGGCACAGAAAAATAATATAGACCAGTGGTTCCCAAATGGTGTTCCGCAAAGTGAAACTAAGGGTTCCACAAGAAAATTCTAC